GGGAGTCCCCATTACCTGTAAAGCGCTTTGAGTGGAGTGTCCAGAAAAGCGCTATATAAGTGTAAGCAATTATTATTATTATTATTATTATTACTCGCTCAGCAAGGTCGCTCGGTCCTGTGTTTCTGTCTTTCCGAGTCTGGCCGCTAGATGTCAGTGCGGTGACGCCGGTTGCCGTTGCTAGGAGCCACGACAGCTGAGTTCCTGTTGTCCGTGTCGACGTCACCGGAAGTGCGGCGACAGGGAAATTGCACGGTGCTGCAGGGAGACGGCGGCAGGTGAAGATTGGAGTTAAATTCATTTCATTCAAAATGCAGAATGGTTATTGTAAAAAGGGAGGATTTAATTAGGCTATATTCCTAGCCGCTTGTGCACATTTGAGTGAGTTTTAGTATCAGAGATAAAATGATGAGCACAAAACAGAGAAAAAGTTCTAATTGGTGTTCTGTAGAGTATAAAAAATGCAGTCAGTTGTTTTTCCCGATCTATCCCTTCTTGTGATAAATGCCGAAGACACCGTTGCTGAATTACTTGCCCTCAATGAGCTGGCGCTTAGCTTAGTAGCAGCAGCGATCAGTTACTAACGGGCTCCCAGCGACGAGGCGTACAGCCTCACATTCACCTGTGTGGACTGCAGCCGTGCAGGTCTCGTCTGGGCTGGGCCGGCTCCGGTGTGCGGGTACCCCGGCCAGGCTCTTAGTGTGCTGCGCTTGATCCCTCTGTTTCCCGGGCCGCTGCCGCGGGTCGCCCTGAGGATGCAGGGGAGAGGAGCTGCCAGTTCGTGGGTCTCGGTCACCCCCAGCGGGTGGAGGGCGGTGAGCAGGAGGACTCTGGAGAGGGGATCGGGCGTTGAGACCCCCAAGCTGGGCTCGGTGTGCCGAGTCAGGGTCCAGTCCCAGGCAGCGGATGATCCGGGGGCGCAGGCCGACAGGCCGACTGGTGTGGACGCCCAGGAGCGTCAGGAGGACACCCACACTGCGGGGCTCGACGGGAGCCCCTCCTCTGTCGTGCAGGTTCCCCTCAGCGAGTGGGTCGAGCTGCGTCTGGGAGAGGGACAGTGCGACGTCATCGAGGGCTGTCTGGAGAGCATGAGGGCTGGAGGGGTGTGTGAGGTGAGGA